TATTATTATTATTATTATTATTATTATTATTATTATTATTATTATTATTATTATGATTATTATTATTATTATATGGTGAGAGTGTTGATGAAAAAAATGGAAGAAAGAGATTGATCGGTTGGACGAGAAACGGATTGGGGTCGGGGTCGGGGAGCCCCGGGGGAGCCGCCCCCCATCCACAGGAGATGCCCTAATGTAGCCTTAAATTAAGGGTAAATTCCACTTTACCCCCTTGTACTCTGCCCAAGAACCACTTTACCCCCTCGTACTCTTAATTTCGTCAATTTACCCACTTGTACTTGTACAATTTCCCAATACAACCCTCTTCGTCAACTTTTTTCGATTTTGACTATGACGCCATTTGGTCAAGAGTCAAAATATTGACGTAAATATTGATTTTTTTTCGATTTTGACTCTCAAGATTATAAAAGAGAAAGTTTCACACATTCATATATTTTTTTCTTTGCACTAGGTGGAATCGATCAATTTTTGGGTCTTGATTTTTACTAAGTTAGGTGTTCAATTTGGGGATATCTTGGAAGGGGAAGGGGTGGAAGAAGAAGAAATGACAATATTGACGGAGGAGAAACGACGCGTTATAGGCAGTGGCAATTTTGTAATTTACAGAGTTGACCAAACGACGTCAGAGTCAAAGTTGACAAAAGTTGAAGGAAAGGGCTATATTGGGAAATTGTACAAGTACAAGGGGGTAAATCGATAAAATTGAGAGTACGAGGGGGTAAAATGATTCTCAGGAAGAGTACGAGGGGGTAAAGTGGAATTTACCCTTAAATTAATATGCACACCTAATTTCACGCGCCAAATCCAAAAAAAAAACACGAGGTAAATTTAATTTTCTACTTTAAGAAATGTGCCAATGATTAATAATATTCCAAATGCAGATATATGTTGCAATCGTAAATACTTGAAGTAGAATAGTACATATATATTGACTGCTACTTGTACTATTTCTTTTCATTAAAAAATAATTAAAACTTTTTTTAAATCTTTTTATAGGAAACAAATAATTGTAATAAAATAAATGGTTGAGAACGAAAACGATACTGTTTGCCCGTTTATAGATATTTCCCGTCGAACACTTTGATTTACGAGATGCTACACCACATGAAAAATATCGGGCGACTTGAAACGTACATTTGTACAAACAACTATCGACTACACAGGCATTTACATGGGCAATGTGTTATTATGTGTATATTAATAGTACATGATTATATGTTGTATTTCATCGGATGCAAATACATCGGATGCAATGTCTACAAAACCGAGCGCTTAACTCGTACAACAATTAATTTCCACCGGTAAACACCACAAAATTGTTTTGGAATGAACACTTAATTGACCTAAAAATAAAAATAAAAATAAAATTACATGTACTAATATTTTAAACCATAAATTATTTCAATAAATTATATGTAAAATTAATATTTAATAAATTGATGTAATATAATATAATATAGCATAAAATAAAATAAAGCAAGAGCAGACAAGGGTAGGAATGATGGAAAGGTTAAGAAATTAATTCATGTGCCCTTTAATGAAAAATTAAAAAGAGCTAGAAATATTTTATCAATTCAAGAAATTATAATTACAAAAAAAAAAAAAAAGCATAATTAAAATCAATAATTCCAGAACAAGGTTTCGAAACAGCTAGAAATCCCACCATCATCAATAACCCCACCACCACCACCCCACGGCGGAGAAGGGTGCAAGTCCAACGTCCACCCCTCCACCGCCGCGTTATCAATGTACACAAAATCACTCCTCAGCCCCACCGAGTCAAAGTACGACCCTAAACTCGGCAACTGGACGATTTCACTCAGTTCCTCCTCCGACTCAGTTGACAGGTCCACCGAAGAAACAAGAGACGACAACGACGGAGAAGATGAAGAGGTGGTGGTCGACGACGGCGATGGCAAATCATCGAACTTCTCCATCGCCGCCGCCTTCGAGGCGGCAGCCTGGACGTCGCGGGGGCTGATGGAGACGGGGCGTGGGAGGACGGCCGCGAGTTCTGGGAAGTTGAGCGTGGCGGAGGCGCCCTTGATGCTCAGGGCCGCCACGTCGTGGGCACGCGCCGCCATTTCAGGGGTGGCGAAGGTGCCGAGCCATATGCGCGATTTCTTGCGGGGCTCCCGGATTTCGGAAACCCATTTGCCCCAGCTCCTCATTCGGACTCCCCGGTACACCGGGTGCCTGCTGCTGTTGCTGTCGGTGGCGGTGGCGGTGCTTTCTCGAATCCTCTTGATTTTCTTGGCGGATTCCGGCGGCGGCGCCACCTGCCCCTTCGCGGCGGCGGCGCGCTGCAGAGATTTTGTTTGGGATATAATTAATAATGAAGATGATGATGATGATGATGGTGGTAATAAGTTTGAGAACAAATCGTTGTCGGCGGAGCTAGTTTCAGGCGGCGCAACCATGACTCACTATATATATATATATATGTATATATATAGTTTGTCAAAGAGTGTGTGAGTATGTATGTATGTGAGATTTTACACTTCCATACTAGTCCATATATATATATAGTTGTTATGGACGTATCACGTAAGGTCATAATCACCAAAACTTTTACCATCTTATTACAAACCCTATTAATATTATTAAGGGAGGTAGCTGTAATATTTTTGAAATAAGAACGGCGTATATGCAATTAGAACTAACATTTGGGGAGGAAAATACAATTTACTAATAAGGCAATGTTTGGTTGAGTTTTCATTTTGTTTTCATTGATTCCCCAAAACAAAATTATATTTATTACATCTTCTCTAAACAATTTCAAAAGTTTCTCTCTCAAGTTTCTCTCTCCTTCAGATGACTAAACAAAATTATATTTATTACATCTTCTCTAAACAATTTCAAAAGTTTCTCTCTCAAGTTTCTCTCTCCTTCAGATGACTGCTACAGTAAAAAAATACCATTACTTTTCTTCTCAAATTCTTCCCCTAAAACATATTTTCTCAAAATGAAATCAAAATAAGTTCAAAAACACTTTCAAACATACGTGTTTTTTGTAAAGCTAATTAATTATCTACACATGCACCATAAAAGGCGAAATCCCTCGCCCCCAGGACCCCCATCCCACTCGCCCCCAGGGCCCCCATCCCTTGGCCCGACAAGGACCCACAATGTGTGTAGTGTGTATATGTTGAGATTTTACGCAAACTTTTAGTTTTGAAAATTATTTTAAGTTTATTAAATTATTTGAAAATTAGTATTGACCCATCCTCTTAAATAAATATCTGACAAGAGAAAGAAATGAAAAGCAGTAATAAGTTTGACCTTTGACCTGTGTACCCTTTTCTGGTTGCAATTTTTTCCACCATTTTTATTGTACTCTTGACACACAGTGATCATCAATTATATTCTCATTCTTGATTTATACCACACTATGCACAAATATACACATGTATATAAACATTGTAAGAATACAATCAAACTAATTAGTTCGAACTCGATCGAAAAACTAATCAAATCAAGCTCAAATACGATTTTCAGAACTCGATAATATTTCAAATAAACTTGAACAACCATTTATTCAGCTCGACTCGATTCTTTGGCACCCGATATCGAAGTAGACGCAATTATGAATGACATGAAAAAAGAAAGCCTCAAAATATAAATCTAATAACATCTAAAAATAAAAATAAAAAGTTAATTCTCAATGCAAATAAATAAACATGCAAAAAACGCTTTTAACCTAAAAAAAAAAACATGTCAAATTTCAGACAAAGAAACCACGATTTATGTTCTATATATTATTATTATATATAACTCAAAAAACAATTCGAATCTTCGCAGAGTCCTCACGCGCCGGCAGAACCTTCCAAGTGCAAGGCTCGATCACATTGGATACAGGGCAGTACCCGGCTAGGACCTCCTTATCCGCCGTCCCGATTTCTAGAACCGTCACGTCGATTGGCGGCGGGTTGTGTCGTCGGATCTCCACTGCTCCGTTCATCTCCGACGCTTCAGAAGACTCGTGGCTCTCACGCGCCGCCGTGTTTTCGTCGTCCGTTTCTTCATAAGGCTCGTGGGGTTTACGCGCCGCCGTATTTTCCTTGGCCGGCGCTTCAGAAGAGTCGTGGGGCTTAATCAACTGCCGCAAAAATCGAAACAGGGTTTTAGGGTTTTTACAAGTGTGTCGATTTTTATAGGGGCTCTTAATTTATTTATTTATTAATTTTTAAAAGAATTGTATTTAAATAAGGATATGATTGATAATGTAACTTTCCTTGCAAGAATAAAATTCCTATGATAGTTTAAAAGGATTTTAATTTTCTCCACGAAAAGGGCAAAAGAGAAAAGGTAAATTTACCTTTTAAAATGATATAATAATATATATTTAGTATTTACAATAATATGTATTCATAAATTAAAATTAGGTATATTACGGTCACCCCTAAGGTAATGTCAAATTACGAAAAAAACCTCTTATGTTTGGTTAATTACAACCATCCATCAATTATAAATTTTCTTACTCGTCCACCCTTGTGGTGTCAAATTTAATGGAATATTTTCCAGGTTGTAACCATTTTATCCCATTAGAGCTATTTATTTTGAAACAAGATGATCATAAGAGCATCTCCGACCGGTCTCACCATTTTTTCACCAAATCCCATTTATGATGGTGAAAAAATGGGTTCATCTCCCACCGGTAGCACACAATTTTACTACTCCACCATTTTTAGCGGGAAATGGGATTTGGTTTGGTCTCCCATGGCATTTCACCATTTCACCACATATAGGAAATGGGATTTGGTTTGGTCTCCCATGACATTTCACCGTATACGCCCCAAAACTATAAATATAATGTTAATCGTAATTTTATAATATTTTATTTCCTAAATATTAATTATAGATCCAATGTTAAGTAATAAATTTTCTTAACTATTTAATTTAAAAATTATGTTATCAATTTTAAAAAACTGTCTAAACATGAAATAACATGAACTCAAATTATTTTAAATATAATAAAATCATATATAAACAATGACTTCATAAATTATTGCATAAATCATATATTAAATACGACATGAGAATTTAAATAAGCAGTTCATGATAATTTAAATTTATATAATTTGTGTTATTGTTTATCATGTTTTGTTATCATGTTATGTTGTTTGTTATTTTATGAGATATGTATTTCAATTTAAATGTCTGTATTTCATCAATTGAAGTGTGTTTCGTTAATCTTTCTATTGTTGCTTATTATATTTTATTAATAGCAATTAGTGTATTAGTTAAGTAAAGAAATGAACTAATAAACATTGATACCAACAACAATTAAAAATAAGCATATTTATATTATTAAAATTAATATTTTGCTAATAATAACAAATGTATTTATATTTTAAAAACTAATTTAACAATTAAAACCAATTTATTTACGATAAGTATGCTAATAAGTTGGTAATCGTGTGCAATTAGTTAAAATCGTCATTTTATATGGTACTTAATAAAATGGTGTTAATTACGCCAAATCCTATTTTCACCTCTATATTTGGTAGGAAAAATAGGATTTAGTGGAAAAAATAGGAAAATGGTGGACCGGTGGGAGATAAAAATTCCTTCCCCAAAAAATTTGGTGGAAAAATAGGATTTGAGTATTTGGTGATATGGGGGTTGACCACGGTGGGATGCTAAAACCAAATCTCTATAATTTTAGGTATAATGGTGATATAGGAATTTCGGGTGGGAGACTAAAAACACCTAAATTAGATAAAAAATGGCGTTATGGTGTCCGGTCGGAAATGCCCTAAGAGATGTTTCTCGACTTGTAAATATCAGATTGTCGTGCATAAGAAATTGCATTTTTGTACAAAACGAGTACAAACTAAAGAACATTCCACGAAGTCTAGAAGATTATGTTGAATTTAAGAGCATAAGGATTGACATATAAGAAGAGTTATAGTTGAAGGGGATGGTTGTAATTATCCAACGTAATTTTTTTTTTTATAATTGACCCTGAGGCGTAATTTACCGTATATAAAAGTTTAAACAAAAAATATTTTATTCTCTTTGTTTCTACTTTACATCTGTGGTTGAAATATTCGTTACCCATAAATATTAATTCCCAGAAAATGTTCAAGAACCGATGAAAACCAGTTAATTAATTAATTAATTAATTAATTAATTAATTAATCAATCAATTCTCCTGCAAATATACCAAAAATTCATAATATTCAGACAAAAAATTATGCAGTATACGACGATTAATTAAACAACAAACAACAATTAATTATAACATAAAAAAAATTGAAGGGCAGAATCAAGAATTAAAATTGAAAAAAAAAGAGAATTTAATTTAATTTATTACCTTGGTTGAATTTGAAACGCAGGAACTGAAATTGGAGGAAGAAGATAGATACAGAATATGATTGTATATGTGTGATGACGTATTAGGGTTTGCCATGCATTGGGGTTGCCGCAAATATGAACTTTCTGGGATCTTACATGTGTAACAATGGCGTCGGAATTTGCTTACAGGTTTAAGTTTCTAGTTGGCTGTTTTTTCTCCGATAAACAAACAATTAAGAATTAAAATATTGAAATTAATTAAAGATAATGAAAAAAAAAAATCATCAAAATAGCAAAGATTTTGCTTAAACGCCAATCATTAAATTTAGTGCGAATGACAAAAAGACCCATCACATGGGACTTAATCAAAGCCAAGTTGATAAATAAATTTTGCACTTGAGATAATCGACACGCAAACAAAATAGCTGCAACACCTAACCATCTATAATTAGTAAGAGAACAGATACCCAAACTTTTATTTCTACTCAAATAATGGGAAGGAAACATATCGAAAAACAATAACAAAGCCAATAAAAATCCAAATTTTCTAGCAAAAAAAACATAAACAAACAAATCTATCATCATGTTCAAAAGATAGTCGAATGAAAATTCAAATAACATTCGCCAATTCATTAATTTAACAAAAGCAAAACAATTTAAAGAATATATTATATGCACCCACGAACGAAAGAAATAATTCAAAACATATCAGATAAGCAGAGTAAAAAATCATTTAGGTAAAAAATGATATACGTTTTTATACATATTATTTATTTCATCACTTTTAATAGTTAATTACAATATAATTATTAAAATAAATATATATAAATAATATTAATTAAAATAATCAAATAAAAAAGTAAAAAAGAAAAACAGAATAATAATTACATGATGACAGTACAAAATCCTCAATATTATATTTTAAATTTAAAAAAAGCAATCTTAACTATCTATTATATATAGCAACAGGTCCTTTAATGTGTCTCTACATATGATGCTAATATTTATTTTTAGTAACAGGTTATTATCCATCACTAAATTATGTCGCTAAATATTTATTGTAGCAACGGATTTATCGTTCGTCTCTAATATCTGTTACTAGAACTGAAACTCCATAAGCGATGGGACGATTTTGTTTTACGTCGCTAATCCTATTGTTAATTACGTATTTAGCAACGGAGTGTTTGTTCTATAAGATTAATTCAGAAATTAATTCTTCACCTTGCTTTCGTTCTGCAAGGGCGGTAGCCGCCGGATTGTGAGTACTCACTTTATACACGTTAATTGTAAGATATGACCACATCAAACCATGTCCGTTTTCAGTGTCCGGTCGTTTTCATGTCCGTGCTGCATAGATTGTCCATTCTAACAACTGATATGATTAACAAAGGCTGTAGTAGCAGATATTTTTGGCTGCTGAGAATGTATATAATTATTAACTAGCAACTTTCATCTCTCGATCTATATATCCTTTGATTTCTCCAAAAAATCTCACACACACACACACACACACATAGAGAGAGAGAGAGAGAGAGAGAGAGAGAGAGAGAGAGAGAGAGAGAGAGAGAGAGAGAGAGAGAGATGTCAAGTTATTACAGCTATGGATCATTTCAACTGATGAATAGTTCTTCGTCGGTACACAAGCCTTGGATTTCTCATTACAAAACCAATCGTCCTCCAAAATCATCCTTGTCTTCTTCTTCTTCTGGTGGCAAGGTAATTAAATTAAAAATAATAATTTAAATATTTGGAAATTAATTTATTAATTTATTAATGTCGGTGGAGTTGATGATGAATAACAGCGCGCGCCGCCGGCGAGAGATGTGCCGGAGATTATCACTCCAAAGGCTGTTAAGGAGACACGTGTCAGTTTTTTAGATATGTTCGTTGACCATGCTTTTCAGTTCGTTGACCAGCCTTATCTCCCTTCTCAGGTATATTAATATTATTATATATTTAAATTAATTTATTTATTTTAATGTTGGCTAATTAATTTATACATTTAAAATTAAAGAAAAACTTCGCCCCAGTTGATGAGATCGGAGAAGCAGTGGGAGTTAGCACAATTGAAGGCTGCATTCCTGATGAATTTCCACAGGGTGTCTTCGTTAGAAATGGTAAGAAAAGAATATTACGAGTTTGTTGCACTAGTACCCCTAATGTTATATTAAATTACTAAAAATACACTATATTTTTATTTTATTGGCAAAAAAATCCATATGATTTATTTTTTTAAGCAATTAGTACCCATGTTTAGGAGCCTGTGTGCTAAAAGAATTGTATCACTCAGTAATTTTAATGAGGCCCCAAACTTTTATAATGGAATAATAAAGTCCTTTTGGCAAAATAATAATAATAATAATAATCATATTATGATGGAGTTTGTAGCAATTCGATATAATACAGGGGTACTGACGGTAATAAACCCATTACGAATTTATTGCAATTAGTACTAGTATTATTCACTGCAATTCTCCAAAATTGTGTTCTACCAAATTTTATATATTATTTATACATATATAAAATTAGTTAAATTAAGATATCACAAGCCATTCGAGCTTATTTTCGATATTATATATTTTATTTTATTTATAAATATATGATTAAAAAAGACGAGATTGCAAGGTTATGAACAATTAAAAATTGGCTGGAGAAATGTAGGGGCAAACCCGATTCACGGAGCGCTAAAATCGGCAATATCGAAATTTGGAAAATCGAGCCACGTGTGGGTAGAAGGAGAAGGAATGCTCCATGCTGGCTACTTGAACAAAAATAAATATGTCGTATAAAATCGATAAACAAAGGGACAAACCTGCATTTATCCCGGCCGCTGTGGAAGGGACCTCCGATCCGGTGGTGTTTTATCGGGTTTCATTTTCAACATGGTATGTTTTAAGAAATGCTGCGCTTGCATGGATCTTATATGTACGAGCAGCGCGCTAGGAAGTCGTGAGGTTATTATTATATTATATGCATTTTTCTTGATTTAGTACGTATTCACTCATCTTAAATCAAGAATCATTATATTGGCATCTATCATCGCTAGTCTAAACTGGGAGGCATCTGCATAGAAGAGCTCCACCGACTCACTTATGCCCAAATTCTATCCTCTCATGCCTTGACATGGAATGTTTGTGTTGCTTATTTGTTTCTGCAACTTTTTTGGATTTGCCTAGATCATTACTTCTCCAAATGTGAACTGCATTTCTTATTGGTAAAGCTTGCTTTGATTAACAATTGCATTTTGTTTCACTAATTATAAATAGCATGTGTGTATGTGTGAGGTTGCTGCCAATTTGGTTTCGGAAGCAAATTGTGTTTAATTTATTTAGGTGAGAATAAAGATTTCATCGCCGTTCAACCATTGTGTGTTCGTTGCCGGAGTTAAACTGTGTACGTTTGAAGGTCAGAGATTCTGCTTTAATTTTGTTGGTTTCGTAAATGGGGTTGGGTTGTAGTGTGTGTATTCAGATATGTGTGTATGTAGAACCGAATTTTTATTGTTACTTTTTGGGTCGTCTTAATTGGTGTAAAGGATCGTTACTGATTGAAAATTTTATTCCGTTTTACACAGAGTCACGTTGTGACTACTCTGTAAATCATTTGTTCGTTTTGTGTTAATTGATACGCTAGTGTAATTTTATTGTAATTTGTTTTTGCGTTACTCGATATGTTAGTGTAAGTTTCAATGTGTTTGTTGTGCTTGAATTGAATTCACATAATATTATGTGAATTGCATTTACAGAGTAGTGCAAATTTATTCATCGGAAGTAGTCACATTCTCATTTTTTTTGTGTAGTGTGCACAACATGTCGTCAACCTTGATGATTGTGTTGAAGTATGGAGACTCGTTTGGGGTGAAGATATGTCAGGGTGATTTTGTGTATGAAGACCTCGTTGGCTTTGTCACTGATAAGTGGTGCAGTTTGAATGCGAGGGATGTATCGATGACTTACAATGTTGATGGATATGGCGAGGGTATGCTTGGCGATAATGATGAGGTTTTGTTTATGAAAGCGTTGATTCGACAACTAGGTCTTGGCCGTGTCGAGGTAACCGTGAAGCGCAAAGACAACGTCTGTGCAGTAGCGTTGGCGAGGGCTCCACAATCTATTCCACAGAATGTTGGGGGCCGGGGAATTATCTTATGAATAACATGGGGATTCGTTCAAATTAAATGGGAATTATTTGATGAATGACATGGGGGTTCGTTCAAATGGATTGGTTTTTTTTTCTTCATGGATAAATTTCACTTTAGCTGTTTTATTTTGTTTACAGCAGAAGACATATGTAGTACTTCAACGTGAAATTATTTTGCTTTATGTTTCTATCTGAGTTTTTTGATTGTTTTATCTCCACATGTAATTTCATTACTAATGTGTCAAACTGTTTCGAGTGCTGTCATCGTGTAGGCATCTTCGTTAGTCATATTATTCACATAGCAGTCATATTGCCTATGTATTGTTCAGCCTATTAATTTGCTCACCGTAGTTGCACAACAGTCATATATGCTCATTCATCTGTAACTCAAAATGTATTCAACTAATAGTCACATTCGCGCTGGGGTTTTGGTTATGTAAAGTAATTTTCCTTATACTGTATGTTGTTTCCTACTTTCATGTTCTAATGACTTACAAACATAGTCATGTAGTAGTCATATTCTTCATAGTATTTTAATAATTGTGATATATATATGCTAATTCCACTCCTATGCACAACATAGTTACATGATTGTCATATTTTCTCACTGCATGTACAGTTTACTAAACATAGTCATGTTTACATTCTATAGTAATATGAGTGCTTTGTAAATTATTATTTGTCTGAACAATAATTAAATGTCAATACTAAGATCATCGGAAATAATAAACATTCAGGTCTGCTTAATAATGTATAGAAAGAACACACAAAAAAAAAAAACCCAAAGCATGTTCTGGTCAACATATAATTCAACATAACAGAAGTGAAATGAAATTATCTAAGAGTAAAATAGAATAGAATAACATATTAGAGTTTGCAGTGTAAAAATGCTTCAACAATGGTCCTGCGCATATCTACGACACCTTCTTCCGCATTTTCTATAATCATTTGTTGCTGCAGGAATGTCTCTTGAATGATGTACAAGATGATTATGCCACAATCGTTTGTACCAAATATCTTCAATTTTGGAATATGACTACAGAACATTACTAAAGAATATACCATTGCAATTACAGGGTTTTATTACATGATCAAACCGGATCACTTTCCCACTGAAAAAGTTAAAAATTCACACCATGCTAATGCTGATTGGAAGAGCGGATTTTGTACCAAATATCTTCGACTTTGGAATATGACTACAGAACATTACTAAAGCATTACACCATTGTAATTACAAGATTTTATTACATGATCAAACCATGTCAAATTCCCACTGAAAAAGTTAAAAATTCATACCATGCTAATGTGGTAATGTGGCTTCATAGATACATAACTAGATATTCAGGCCTAGTCACGTATAGTCATGACGGTATTTTGGTTATTTAACTACATAATCAGAAACTGTATTCTAATTAACAGTTTACCAACTCAGTTAACATTATCATCTATATCAGTGGAGGTCATTAAACACTAGGCTACAACATGACTCCACATGACTAGACCACAAACAACTATTGTTGGGATATAATACATCAATGCATACAAAACATGTTAAACTGGAACGGAGACCAAACATGACTGCTGCCCCAAAAACTTTGTTTATACAAAGGTAAATCCACTATAAAACAACAAAATGCAGTCATGTACAAGTCTTCATACCAACATGACTACATAAAAATACTATAACAATACACCAATTTAGTTACACATTGTTATAACACAATCAAACCAGAGCATATTTCTACTGCAAAAGTTAACAATTAATATCAATATTAACAGTGGTTGTAACTGCAATTTGAGCATATGTTCATAATATTACGATTCAATAAAATCGGAACAACCATGAATTCAATGTCTATGTAATATAGTCACATATAGTCATGATGGTAACATAAATGCAACACCCAGAAAGTCTGTGTATGCAACCATAAATCACCCCCCAAAAACACCTAAAGTGAAATTAAATTGGATCTACGGGCAAAATTATTTTTTGGAATTTCCAGTTTGTACAAATAATGATTTGCAAATAAATAAGAATTAGGTGGACAGACTTACCGGCATCAAGATGCATAATGTCATGAGGATTGGGTCTTCGTTTATGCTTCTGTGACGCTTTCTTCTTCATTTCAGAAACCAGAATTCGAATGTGACTACGCAACTCAACTTCACTGGTTTATGACTACCAAACACAACTACTGCAGAATACAACTATTAATGGGTAAATGGTTTATGACTACCAAACACAACTACTGCAGAATACGACTATTAATGGGTAAAGTGTGTGGACGATTTTGTACCAAATATATTCGATTTTGGAATGTGACTGCAGATTGGAAGAGAGGATTTCGATTTTTTTGACGGTTTTGATTTGGGGGAAAACCAAATCTCTGTGTGTTATTGAAGACGATGATGCGGTTTTTTTGTTTTTTTAATTGTTCTAGTTAGGAGCAGTTTTATTAGGGAAAGTAAATAATTAAACCTAATTAGCAGGATTAGGTGCCTAATTAATAGGGATTTGAAAATATTGGATAAATATTAAAAAATAAACGGGACTTACTAGAGGGGTAAAAATGGAATTAAATATTCTAGGGGGTTTTTACAAAGAAAGAATTATGTATCGGTTTATCACTAGTTTTTATCTGTAAGAGCGGTGTATTGCTAATGACCCCATATATTATTGCAGCTGAAATTGCTGAATTGGAAGGAAAGTCCGTTGCTCAACGTTTCCGAGACCAATATTTTATTGAATAAACTGCAAGAGCTATCATTAGCAAAACTACTTCCGGGGTTCGTTGCTTCTGATTTGCCATCCGATGCCTTGAAATCAGTGAGGTTCGCTCTTGCCACTAATCTCGGACGTGTTTTTCTCCTAGACTAATTTCCTGACAGCCTGTTTTTTTTTTATTTTTTTTTGTACCTTAAAATCTATATTAATATTAATTAGTCGATATAATTGCCATTCTATTTAAACCCTGGTTTCTTTTTTATAATGAATTAGCAAAAAAAGAAAATGATTAGTTGAAAGAATATTCTCTCTTTGAACGACTTCATTAAACATGGGCCGATCATGGAAGTTTTGGGCCCTATTCATTTTATAATATCAATTAGGCCTTTTCATCGAGACTGGGCCTTTTAAAGGACACAAAAACATTAGGGTAAATAACATTTAAACCCCCTAAGGTTTGAACTTTGTGCACATGACTCCCAAGTACTTTCAATATAAACACACAACTTCCCTATAGTTTGAACTTCGTGCACATGCCCCCCTTGTACGTTTAATATAACTAGGGTTGTTCATGGGTCGGGTCGGTTGAATATCGGCCGATTATCGGCCCGACCCGACCAACCGACTATTGCAAAAATGTAAAACCATTATCGGCCCGACTATTATGGGTCGGGTAATGGTTGGCAACCGACTTTGTCGGTTGCCGAAATAGTTCGGTTGCAAATTATCGGCCACAGTAAAAAAAAAAAAAAAAAAAAAAAAAGAAAAAGAAAATCAGATTTTTTTGCTTAGCCTGATTAAAATTCATCCCCTAACAATTATAAAACTACATCCCAAAATTAAGTAAACTACATCCCAAAATCAAGTTTCAAATTACAGACTTCAAATTCATAAAACAATACAAAACACAAAAATATAAAACAAATCCAGGATTATCATTTATCAGTATACCAAATACAAAAATCAAATTTCACAGTCATACAACTCCCAAGCTAATAAACTATAAATCTTGAGTTAAATCAATCCACCTCTTCGTCGAATACTCCAATAAAATGTCTCAATTCTTCAAGAATGAGTAAGCACCTATCAGTCTATCACAAAAAAAAAAAACACACACACACACACACACACACTATATTCATTAAATAATTGAGAAAAACTTCTAAGTTAAAAACTCATACATTAGTACTCTAATAAAATATATAGAATCTCAAATATTTAAAAGATTTGATACAAGGCTTACCCACATATTTAGACGGTTGATGTTGAAGCTTGGGTGGATGAACGAGGCATTTCTTGGAGATTCTGAGTTGATAGAGCTTCTATAATTTTAGAAGTCAAATTATAAAATTAGAAAATGGTTGAAATAAAAATAAAAATAAATCTAAAATATACAAGTATTAGAATTTTATCACCTTTTTCAAGTTCCTCTAAAGTTGAATAAAGTTCCATTTCAATTTCTGTTGGATCCTTGTAGTAACTAAATCCATCACCCTTGAGCCAATCATTTGTGCAAACCAATGCCTCAACCGTCCTAGGTGTTAAACGACTCCTAAAAGGATTTACAACTCTTGAGCCCAAACTAAATGCACATTCAGAAGCAACACTAGAAACCGGCATTGCAAATACATCTTTGGCAATTTTTGCCAGTATGGGAAACCTAAATGACTCGGCCTTCCGATATTGCAAAATCTTGAACTTGCTCTTCTTGGTCTCTAGGTAAGGTTCATGCAAATATCGATCAACCTCATCACTTAAGGCAACAATTTGACTCTTCTTCAATGATTGATGATATAACATATCGACATCATCTTCGTCTCCAGAATCACTACCACTCTCTTCGACTATGGGATCATCATCAACAGCTTCACCGTCAACATTAGATTGATTGTTTTTAGTCATCGTCAAACCATACTCTTTAAACATATCACGAAGCATTTGTTTCACTTGCGCTTCCAAATTCAGTACCATATCTATTTCCATCCCAATATTCTTGAGTTGAAAACTCAAATAAGGTAACTTGTACCTTGGATCAAGAACCACCGCAACATACAAAAAATAATTTACTTTCTCCCACTTTCCCCAATAGAATTGAAATTTTGTTTTCATACTTGCCGCCACTTTGCGAATGCTTCATCTGCTGATTTTTCCGTCTCCTTAGTCAACAATGTTTGGATATTCAATAGTTGTTTGAACACCAAGTGAGCCGTGGGTGTTTTAGAAGCACTTAACTTGAGAGTTGCTTCATAAAACACTTTTAAGAAAGAGACAAACTCTTTCGCACTCTCCCAATCCGCGA